CCTTAGCCCTTGGTGTTCTTACTGCCAAGAATGGCCTTGCCCATGTTATAACCCTTACTCATATCAACCAGTAAATAGTGTCATATATATGCATGGAATATCTTGGGCAACAAGGTTGGGAGAGAGGTTCGTTGGGTTTTTTGCATTTGCATGAACATTAGAAAAAACATACAGTCACTACATCTCAGGAATAAACTAAGGAACGTAAACTTGTTCAGGACGAGTCGAGATTCTGTTCTATCAAATGACAATCAGTGTTATTAGGAAAAATGCGTGAGATATCGTAGGATGTTTACATTAGTTGGCATTCAATTTTTAAAATAATTTTTAATAATACTGCTATTTTTCATCCTTCTACCAGTTTTGGAAAGATAATAAGTTTTTATTATCTGAAATAAATTTAATAAAATGAGCAAAAAGAAATTGTTTCACGTATGTCATGTATTTTAAATATTTTTCAATCAAATGTTCAATAAAAATGTATTGAGAGCCTACTATATGTCAGGCACTCAATAAAGGTTGATTTGATCGTTCCTTTATTAATTTTGTTTGCCCCTTCCTTGACTCCACACCAATTACTTTTCCTTAATTCCCCTTTGCCCTGAGGCTTTTAGACCCAATGCGGCTGCCGTAGGGCGGGTGTCAAGATGGCGGCCCCTGCTCTTGTTAGTGCCGTGAGAGCAGCATCAGGTTAGTGAAAAGCAACGCGCTTGGTTTTTACCTCCACAGAAGGGGGAACCCGCGCAGTATGGAGAGGGGGTTTAGCGTGGAGGTTAATAGGGAAAAAAAAGGGGGGGGGTGTTGAGGCTAGAAGGTTCCTAATTTTCTCTCGGGCTGCCTGTGTTCCGCCGCTCAGGAGATCCCCCAGACTCTTGGATCTTCGCGACCCTAGGTGGCTCGCAGTTTCCCCTTTCTTACCGACTCCTAGCCATTCCGCCTTCCCTCAAAAGCAAATGAGGACAGGCGCGGAGGTGGGCGAGGGAAACAGATGTCCAACCTAATTTTCTGATTCAGGG